TATGTAGTGTGTACCTGTATATGAATTTGATATGCGTTGTCAAAAGATCGAGTACTGTTGTGCCGTTGGACAAATGTCTGCACCCGTTTTGACTGTGTAATTTCGGGGCGTAACATTTGTCTGTGTAGAAAAATGCGCTGCACTTCTTATGAAATGTACAAACGTTGTTGTTATTTATGAGTTTTTCATGTTTTACCACAAAGCAATTACTGATTACTAGCGACACGAAAACGGGTCGAAGTAAAATACAAAGCCCGTTTTTACCCAAAAGTTTGTTTTGAAATTGTATACATCTATAGAAAATACGAACTGACTTTCGGCGATTTCCATTTAGGAGCGGGCATGAGTGAAATATGATATCCAAATTTTTAGACCGCTAAGATTCATGCAACAATATCTCGACAAAATCTTATTAAAAAAAAAAAAAAGTTATTTTTAATTAAAAATTATACGGATTGTACGTTTTATAATTAGAAATATAACGGCTACTGCTATTAGTGGCAAGTAAATATATTACTGCTAACTATTTTGTTTTATTGATATCTGATCGCCAGTCAAAACATGATGTGAACATATTTTGACGGTATTAAAAAATATATCATAATTTTTCATTGAAATATTTTCTAAGTACGTTATTCTGTGTAGGGATAGTTATAATAGATAAAAAAGTACTAATACAAGCTACCTCATTATTATCAGTTGTTAATAATTGAGTACTAACACATGAAATATGTGCTTAATATTTATAATAGGAGGTAAATACGGTGTTGTTTATACATAACTACAGTTTTAGTTACTATATTACGTATTTGCCATGATAGCAACCAAGATGTAGGTAAATATACTTGCGTAGCTACTTGTTGAGTCCATTGAACATATATGAGAGGTATTTGCTTTAAAATACCTCTATATTAAATATTACTACTCTCTTTCCAACTAATTTCTAACTTTAGTATATCTAACTGAAACTGACGAAATTTGTAGAATTTGTCTGTTTCGAACATATCTTATTAAAGAATATAGATAGTATTAGCCGTTATTAGCAGCTATTTTACTTTGTTTTACTTTACTTTTGAGATTATTAACTCTACCTAGATCACAAACATCTGAAAAGATAAGATGGTTCTCCCTTTCGACGAACTTCTTTATAAGTTTTAAAATGTATACGTGTGGTGAATCACCGACGAGATTTTTAATGCTACAGCGCTATCAGCCTAATGATAAATTTTCTTTTTGGCTTAAAGATATTGTGGTTTCTATTTTTTTCTCGAAACAACATACTTTTAGTCTTAAAAATGTACTCACAAGAATTTACTAGACATTAACTTAATAACTGTAATTATTAATTTGTATGAAAAAAAAAAATAACACGTTTTCACTTTTGCGAAATGGTTATATTGAAATAACTGACCCTTTCCTTGGAGGGCTTCAGGTCCCTACAAAAATTATATAAACAATAATCTATAATACACATAAATTAACCATTGCCGTAAATTAACCGTATTTACTTTTTAATAAGTCAATTAAGTTTGAGTAATTAATTAAATACAGAACAATGGTTATTTTTTTTTTAAAGATAATCAGGTTTTTTAGCATCGTTACGGAGTGAGAAGGTATTTATTTTTTAATAATGATTTTTTATTTTATATTACTTAAAATTTCAGATGATTTTTACTTAAACTCATATACTACGACGAATTGCAAATTTAGGTCACACAAATTCACTCAAGTGCCAAAATCGTGCAATTATACTTATTTTAATACGTTAAAACTAAAATTCTACTTTTTGCTTGGGTTTTTTTATTTATAGTTTATTTGTTAGTTTCATTCGGTTATCGATTTTTCTAGTTTGTGATTAAATGTAATTTTGTATTGCGCTAATCATAGTGTAGCCCTACCTCGCAGACCTTTAGTATATATCAAATAATATTAAAATAACGAATTTAAGAGCCGATAAAGACCCGTTGCTAAGCGGAGTTATATCCTTTTAAAATTTACGTTAAACAGCAAAGTAGGCGTAAAATATCTAAACGGCTTATGGCAGGTGTGTTGTATAGCGTATATACAATGTATAGAATCCAACCCGAGTCGCTCCGACGAAGCAAATTGCCGTTTATCACATGAATGATTTTCGGATATATCCGTTAACCGACGTTTCGGACTCTCTGCAGAGTCCATCTTCAGGGATTATGTTAACTGTTAAGGCATTCATTTTAAAATAATATTCTGTTACCAACTGTACTTGAGCCCTCTTGGACGTTTACCCTAAATAAAAAAAATAAATAAACAACCCGAAAACGTTGCCGACAAAATAAACTAAATTGTTTTTAAGGAACTGCGACATTTATGCTTGTTTATTTCAAACAGGTATACCCGAAACATTAATTAAAATACAATATTTGAATATAAATACTTAATAATAAGCTAATGTGTTTATATATATTTTATTTTAACCCAAATCAATATTTCCAGAATAATTACTATATTTAAATTATACTTCTACTTTTAATTTTGAACAAGTATACGAATAATTATACAAATAATCCGGGTAAATTAGGTTGCGCCGAATGATGAAAATCTATTCTACAGCCATGCACATAGTCAAAATAATTTTGTTTGGTATGCAGTGGCGTGCACAGGGGGCGGGATTTATGGGCCTTTTTTTTTGTACTTTTAACATGACAGTACATCAACATAAAATCAACATTGAAGTTCATTAACATACTATGTAATTTTTACGTACTCGTTTAAAACAAAATTTATCATCGAAAATATGTGCTGTGGTGATAAATGGTAAGTGATACCAAACACATTAACCACAATTACGTGACATTATTATTATGGAATCCCCCCCCATACAAAATTCCTGCGCACGCCACTGTTGGTATAAACTTGTTCGCTTAAAAGCGAGTGTACGGTGTACAATAACAGATGGGAATAGATAAAGTATAACTTACAACACGGTACCAGAAAATATACTGTAGAAAAACAATGAATCGGATTATTCATAAAACAAATACAAAAAAGTGAAATGTTGCTATGAAAACACTCAAAAACTAGCTGTGTACGTATCATAACGTAATAAGAAATAACTCATATAGGTATAGGTATAAGCTACAGCTGACTGCATTTTTGGGTGCTGAAAAAAAACAGACAAACTTACTGGTTTTTCGACAAATTGAAAAATAAATAATACAGATAGTCTTCCTCTTCAAAAATAATTCGTTTTGCGCAGAGAAAATACAATGTTGATGTTTTTATTATGGTTGCACTCATATACATTGACGCGAGTTACACACGTGGAACTTGAAATATAATCGAATCCATTCGAATTCGGTTTTACCGTTAGCAGAATCAATGTTACCTAATGATTAACTGTACCAGAATATAGTAATCTGTCTAAGTAGAATTGATTATTAAATGAACTAATTTCTCCACGGGGTGATCAGAGGAGATAATATATCCACGTCGTTATTAGAAAGTAGAATACAATGAGTGTGAATTGTGTGACATCATTTTGTTGAGTTCATTTATTAAAGACAACAAAGATTCAATTATTATGAAATATAATGTTTCGCTCTATTATCGTGATTATTTTATAATACTCGTTAAAATAATTTTGTGTAAGTAAATGAGTGTCATATTATTACGTTATTTTCTAATAGAATCTTCTTATAATATAAAGCGGTCAAAAATTGTTTATATATACCCTGAATATTAATTTTTTTTACCCTCTTTTTTTGGAACAAAAACAAAAGAAAAATATTCAAAAGTGGACCATTAAATACAATGTGTGCCCTCCTCTGACCAAAAATATAGCTAAAAGGAATGTTCTGTAATTCGTTGGGCTTTGAGGAATTTCGGGACAGGCCGTGAAGTGGTTACAAATAAACAAACAAACTTTCGCGTTATTTTTATATATTATTAGTATGAATATGTTTAGACTGTCCCCCCTAAAAAAAATATTCATCGAAAATAAAATCCTACAAAATGTCAGCCTTCTAGGTCAATCCTAAGTGCTTTGTTTCCTGGTTTTAACATAATATTATAGTAATAATATGTTGGTATACGTAAAACTGTTACAATAATTATTCATACATTGAGCTATCAATAGTTAAATTTCAAAACGAAAAAGAGGGTTTGTTAAAATATTATATTTAAACGTTAGAATTCACAAATAACACAGAATTACTGATTTGTATACGAGTTTATTTTAAATAAGTGAAGAAAACATTTTTTTTACGTTTGATATCATAACAAAGTTGTTTTAAAAAGTCTTCTAATATTTCGTTTTCCGGGTGTTATATTTTACTTTATTTTTTGACACAATTTTGAAATTTTAGTTTTAGTTGAAATTACATGTACTCATTCATTAATTTTATTCAAATACATAAGTAAATATGAGGATGATAAGTATACAATTGTCCGTATCATCCTCATATTTACTAATGTATTTGAATAAAATGAATGATTGAATACGTGTAATTTAAACTAAAACCTCTTTAAAAATAGTGTCAAAAAAAAAGTATTTGTTAAGTATACAATTGTCCGTTACATTGCGTATCTGTCTGTCATCAGTTTCACTAGCCCACAATTCAAGTAAAAAACCAGCGTCAGTCAACAGAATTGTTCATCAGTTAGTAAAGAATATCCATGCTTACAGGAAGGGATATTAATATCATTACACATTATCATTATTTAATACATTATATGTGTGCGCAAACGAGTTTTCACTAATTAAATGTATCAATTAATTATTATTAGCTTACTTAACATTGTGTGAAAAACCAACAACTCAAGTAAGTAATAATAAAGAAATAATATCTTACAGTAATAGCATGTAAATTATTACACAAATGCATTTTTAATTAACAACAACTGAACTTTATACAACCAATTAAAAGTGGGTATTTTTTTTTCGTCCCTAATATTATAGTAAATCAGCGATAAGATGACGGCGGGTCATGATATGTACGGCTGGTATAGTACATACCGGTCAAATATTATATCAGTCAACGGCTAACGTTTACTTCGGTCGCCTCAAAACCTTGTACATCCGTATTCGACCACTGCAACAACCTATGGTATGCATACAATTTTTTTAATAATTTTCTACTCATACAGTCTCATACCTACCATTATTACTAACATCAATATGATTAACTGTTTGTTCGTTTTTTAATTTATGACTATCAATAATTGTGATACATCTAAGTGAATAATTAATTTCAAAAATGACATAAGTGATTTTTTACAATAATGACTTTTTGGAAAATTTGATACATTTATATGCTAAAAAATAAATGTTTGGGTTATAAACCTCCAACTCCTTCAGCTGAGCTCCTGGTTATCTGCTTATTTAAATTATCAATAATTAAATTTAAATACCATACTAATAACTATAATAATTTTATTCTTTTTATAAAATTGTATTTTGGTAAATTATACTCATTTTTTACTTTTTAGTTCACTTTTTTACTATTTTAAATTTTTTAGAAAAGCATGTTTTTAAAAAGAAAAATGTTTTATCTATTTAATTCTTATATTTTGGCCTACCTACTTTTCCTTTTTACTTTCATTGTACAACGAATAATACATGACTAATAAATTGTCCATGACGGTTTAGCAACAATGGACGTTAAAATTGTGGAACAATTGGAATTCTATTTTGGCGATGCGAACTTACCTTGTGACACATACTTGCAAAATCAGATAAACGCTGACGACGAAGGATGGGTGAGGTCGATGTCCGGGGACCCAGCCGTTATAGCAGCCGCCGTTCGGGACGCTCCACATGGTACTTTAATCGAGGTAAACGACAACAATGAATGTATCAGACGGAAGCCTGAACGGTCCAAAAGACACTCAAAGACATGGTAGACCGCACAGTCTACTGTACTGGTTTCCCCAAAAACGCAACACAAGATGATTTACTAAACTTTGCCGATTCCCTCAAGCCAGAGTTCAGCGTCATTAAAGTGTTTCCAGGCAGAACAACCGTCTCACAGAAGTTTACAGGAACGGCGTTCATCACTTTCGAAACCAAAGAACAAGCTGACACGTTCAGGACAAAAGACTCGGTAATATACAAAAACACTATTAATCTGCGGCGAATGCGTCGCACGTTGTTCATATGAGTAGCAAGCAAAGTAAACTAAATATAATTGTTTTTCACTAAAAAAAAAATATATTATTAATAATTAAATTATTTTTTTTATTTTTATTTAATTGAATAATAAATGCTAGTATTAATTTTATATTGTTTTTATTAAAATATACAGTCTTATTATATAATATATTGTGTGTATTGAACTGAAATCTTTATGCAAAAATTACTCAACACCCGCAAGTTCAAAGAAGGTAATGGACTATAAAAAAAGTCACCATAGTGGGGTTAGAACATAGTGTAAACGGAGCATAGTGACAGGGAGGTCGGTGTAGTCACAAGACTGTAAAAGTTCACTGTGAAAGTATTAAAATAACTCTAAAAAAACTCGTTGAAAAATAAAATCGTTGGTATACACATACATAATAACCTACAATATAATAAAAATAATTTATTAGATACCTGTTAACTGTTGACATTAATACCGTAAGTTGAGATTAAACTACTAAAAATGTTGATTAGTCGAATAAAAAATTTGTAATATTCTTAAATATCCAAAAAAATATGTTAAAAACTAGTTACAATTATTTCCAAAAAAAAATCCTTCCACTAAATTGATCACTATGTATACATTACAAAAAATAAAATCTGATAAGTAATAATTAACCGGTAACTATCAAAATGTATAAACACTACGACGGGGTACCTAAAAGAAACCGAACTATTTTTGTACAAAGTGATTTATTTAATTTTTTTACAAAAAACCGTTAATTTCCTTCAAAGTACTCTCCATTCGAGTTAATACACTTGTCTAATCTTTTATTCCACCGTTCGAAATATTTTTTAATTCATTTTTTGTGATGCCTAACAGCGCCTCCGTCGTTTTTGTCTTTACTTCAGCCACGTCCGCAGCAATTTTCATTCCTTTTGTGTCACTTTTCATTCGGGGGAATAAGAAGAAGTCACAGAGGCTAGATCAGGTGAATAGGGGGGATGGGGCACAATGGTCATACCAATTTTGGTCGAAAATCGGTGCACAGAGAGGGCTGTGTGAGCGGGAGCGTTGTCGGGATGGAAAAACTAGTCCTCCGACTACCAAAAATCAGGGCTTTTTTTTTGCAAACTGTTGTTCAATCATTTCAAAACTTCCAGATAATAAGCCTGGTTAACTGTCTGACCCGGTGGAACAAACTCTGAATGGACGACTTCTCTCACATCGAACAATTTTCGAAATTCTCGTTACTTCACGCCGTCGAAGGACGTCCAGAGAGGGTTTGATCATTAATTGATATTTCCACACTTTTAAAACGGGAAAACCACTCAAACACTTGAGTTTTCCCCATAGCATCATCCTAGTAGGCCACTTTTAAAATTTCAAGAGTTTCTGTGCCAGTTTTCCCGAGCAGGAAGCAAAACTTAACGGCCGCGCGCTGTTCGCGAAAATCAGCCATCACAAAAACGACGAGCGCGCAAAACAACTGTCACAAAAAAATTAACAGATATCAGTTATCTTTAAAACGATTTCGCGATTTATGATTTTAAGACATAATGATTTTTATTAAACAAAATATTGATGAATTTATTAACAAATTGCTTACATTTTTCTCTTGTTATAATGAATCTGGTATAAAAACCTATTTTAGGATTGACACACTTTTGTCATGCATACTTCTAATTTAAATACCGGTCATTTATATAATTTTAATTATTTCATGACCTACAGGCTACAGTTGCAGTTGCAGTACGCAGTTTGCGCCCTCAATGAAGCCCGTGGCCGGCAAATCGTAAGCCTTTTTTATCCTAAAAATAAATACTTATATAAATAGCTTTATTTATATAAGCTATAGCTTATATTATTATACAGCTTATTTATATAAGTATAGCTTATACTAATAGCTATACATGTACATGCTCCCAAATCAGCTGGACAAATCCGGACGGCAGTAGGTATTATAGCTTTCTTTAGATCCGATTTTTATAACTGGTGTGACTAAAGTAACTGTAGCCAAAAATCTTTCAGATTTACTTGAACATGGAAACGTCTAAAACTGTAAAATTATATTTACTTAAAATATATCTAATATACCTATAATAGCGGTTTAAAGGCAATTACCTCAAGCTGTTTGTCTGTATTCAACGTTTTTTTTTATTGAAAATAACGTTACGAAATTAACGTGTTAGTATTTTTTTATCAATTTTATAATTATAATTATTATTTATTATTCAAAAAATATTGTAAACGAAAAACTACTAAACGTGAACGACGAGGAAAATATTTATACATATAACTGAACTATAATGATAAATGTCCCACCTCAGAATTCTGTGGTACCCCGATAACGCGGATAACGGCTCTGAAGGAAGACTAGTTACTTTTGTCGATTTCTTAAAATAAATATCATCTTTATTTCCGTTAATATCAAGAATTATAAAAAAACATATATAAATATATATTATACAAGCTGTCCAGACCCGGCGTTGCCCGTGTATTAGAATAGACACACAATCAGCTGATCGGATCACTGTATCCCTGTGGTATGAAAAACCATAGAGATGTATTGATAACTATTGATAATCATAATTAATCATTTTAATCAATTAAAAATGGTCTATCGGATCAAATTGTGAATCTAAACCTTTCTCGAATCAACTTAATCGCGCACACAAAATTTCATAAATATCTGTCCAGCCGTTTAGGAGGAGTTTGCATACTTACACACGGATAGAAGAAATTTATAAATAAAGATTTAAGTGTAGAGTTAATGTTTGTATGTATATTTCATTTAATATTCTAAAACAATACTAGTACACTATACTCTATAGTTTTTCGCAAACAAGAAATAACAATTAAATAGTGTCTTCCTCATCGTAGACACAGTCTAATAATAGTAAAACTATAGTCTATAGGTAGTAAAAAATGAATGTGTCTTATTGATAGCGCGGTCAACCTTGTATCAGTACTTAAAACTTAAAAGGATTTATAACAGCCTAGTTTAACAGGCGAGATTTGTACTATCGCTTCGGGCAGAATGATCGATACCTACATAACATTATAGCTAGACATTATTCGCTGTCAAGTGATTTATGCTTGTTGAAGTTGTAAACTGTCTAATCCTAACCTGAATAATTTGTAACACCATCTAGTTTACCATTTATTATTAAATAAATTATATGATACACATTTAGAATAATGGATAATAATTAGTCCCTGTAGATAAATAGAAATGTTATGCCTAATAATGTATGAATGTATTAGATATACGACCGAAAATAAAATGATGAATGAAAATTGCAATTTTAATATGAAAAGTTGATAAGAATACTTTTTGACATTTTCATGTCTTAGCTCTGGCACATAACCGAATAACACTGTTTTCGGTTACTTAGTGTTACCAAAAAAGCGTTACCACACGGAGATGGGGTTGAGGGTGGGAATGGGGATGGGATGGGGGGTGGAAAAAAGGGGTGATAGATTGGGGTGAGAGATATGTTGTATTCACAACGATCAAATTATAGCTGAAAAATAAATTCAATGTAATTTAACAGGTCATATTTCCTATGAATTGTTTAAGGCCAGATATTATGAAATCACTAAAATATAAGCCAGAAACTTGATATGTTTACTAGCTACCTTAGATACTAGATTGTTAATATACTATTTCATTATCAATAATTCCACCACTATTATAAATTTATTCGGTACTTCAACGAGACATGAAAATGCTCTTTCGTGGTTGCAAACTCGGCAGAAAAACGTTTTAATGGCTATTAGATACATGTTAACTCTTGACATCAAAAAGTGATCTTTAATCTATTTCTGTCATAATATATGATAAATTATACGAGGTGTTTAACATTTTATAAACCAGTACTTTTTTTCAATACAAATTTGATCGCCTGACTGATTTCTAAAAAGTAAATTGGCAATTAGGATGAATGAAAGTAGTAGGTATATCTGACTCAATCTAATAAGAATTAAATTTATGAGCAGCAACCTTAATATTTATAAGCAATATTTTTATTTTCTAGCCAACTTGTTAGTTTTAGATGCTTTATCCTTTCAATTTACATATTTTAATGGATATTTTAAATTATTATTTATAAAACCGACAACGGACATCCACGACCTAACAGCTTTATTGTAAGATTGAACTACACGCATACAAATAAATAATAATTGATGTACTCGAGTTGTTTTTTTTTTTTTTTGGAACTTTTTATAAGTAATAAGTGATAATTTGTGTTGGCAACAACGATAAATAGTTAATACCAACTCTTGTTAAGATCTGATCGGGATAACTCGAAACGGCAGCAGTTTTTAAATAAATAAAACGCATTCTCAGGAATAAATGCGAACACGATGATCTCCTAAAAATAATAAATTTGATTTGACATTATTAGCCATCGAGATGCACTTTTAAATCTTAGTTAAGTCACAGACTTGATATCTCGACATGTGATGAACTTACACATCCTTAAGACTCGCTGACAGTGTGATTAATTTGTACGATAAGGATTTATTACTGAACTGTTCAGCGGGATTTATATTTTAAGTCCGTTCGCCTAAACTTCTGACTTCACTGTACACGTTCAAATGTATAGCACACCTTGCGTAACTACAAGCCTTCGGGATTTTTCTTGTAAATAAAGCAGTATTATAACAGATAACATAGGACGGTAGCTTTTCCCATTTTCGCTCAACGAAGGTAGAATAAACCTGTCAAAAGCGTTTTGAAAAATCTATATACTATTACCTATAAAGCCGATTGACACCGTGGTAATCGCAGCCATTAGGTTCGTACTTCCGAGTGTATACAATCAATTTCGCGTTTACAATGTCATGTTTACACAGTTAAACCGATCCCCACAACAAAAAACTAACAGCTGTTACCTATAAATAATGAGCCTAGTGTCGAAGGCCAACTGCTTTTAGTTAACGTTTTAATTAATCGTTAGCACACTTGTGCGGGGTGTCGCTATAATTGTTTACCGCGGTCCGATTATTTTTACTCGCATGTTAATAAAATAAAAACACTACGTACCCAAATATTAATCACGCATATTGGCAAATTGATTGGAGAAAATCCATATACCTTATCCTCTAACTGTGTCCAAGTATACACAATCA